TCGCGTGTGGAACTCCCCCCGTGGAGACCGGCCGTTCCGGATAAAAACGGCACCGCCGGTGCCGGCGCCGCCGCCACTGCCGTGGCCAGCGGAACGCTTCTCGCCGCCGTCGGCGCTGCCGCTGCCGCCGCCGCCGCTGCAGGCGCCGACACTGCCATGCCGGCAGATGGGGCCATTCCAGGACGCGGGGCGGCGGTGGTAGCCGGGGCCGCCGGTCGATTCAATCCGGGTGCTCCCGCCACCGACAACGCCGCCGTCGCTGGAACTCCTCTTGCTTGGGCGATCAAACCTTGAGGCGCGGAGGAAACGGCATGCGTGTGCTGCTGGGTTTTCAGCTGCACGTGCGGGGCTTGCCCCGGTCTTGGAGGTGGTACCCCTCTTGCAGCAGCCGGGATAGGTGCTGCTGCTGGGGGGGGACGGGCGCACGCCAGGTGGGCCGCCGCTAGCTGCTGCTGCTGCTGCTGCTGCTGCTGCTGTTGCGCCGCCACCGATGGCTGCTGCGGCCTCGCAGTCCCGACGACGCTCCTGGCGGCATTAGCAGCAGCGACGGCCATGCTCGCCACCATGGTCGCGGCGGCGGTGCCCGCCGGCGAGATGAACGACGACGCCACCGTCGCCGGCTGGCCTCTCGGGAGGGCAGCGGCGCCGGCGGCCGGAGCGCCGCCGCCGCCCACGACGATCGCGCCGCCGCCGCCGGCGTATGGCGGCGTTGGCGGCGTGAGCGGCGTGCGCGGCCAGGTACTGCTGGAGCTGCAGCGCGGCGGTCGCCTGCGGGGTAGGGGCGACGGCGATAGGTCGCGGCTGCTGCTGTTGCTGGGTGGTACCGTTTGAAAAAGTGGGCAGCGTCGCCGCCGCCGCCGTCGGCATTCCACCGCCGCCGCTCGCGACCGGCTCCGATTTCACCAGCATCCCACCGAGAACTGCTGCAGCAGGAGCGGGTTGAGTCGCAACGGTCAAGCCCCCGACCGCACTGGCCATTGGTGCCGGTGCCTGTGCTGGCTGGGCGTAGGTAGTTCGCGGTGGCAACGGGAGTGGCCACGGCGACAGGCGCGGGCGCCTGTGGCAGAGGTGTCGGTGGTGCTGACAGCGGGGCTGTTATTGCCAGCGCTGGCGGTGGTGCTGGTGGTGCTGGTTGTAGCTCTCGCTTTACCGCGCTGGCGCCGGCACCGACGACAACTTTGCCATTCTGCCCACCACCAGCCCCCCCTGCTGTTGTCGCCGCCGCTGCGGCCGCCGCTATCGCTGTCGTATGAGCTGCTGCCGCTACCGATGCTGTTGTCGGCGTTGACAATGTTGCTGCCGTTGTACAACCTGCCGCTGTTGTCAACGGCGGTGGTGCCACTGCAGCTGCCGCCGCTGATATCGTGGCCGCGACACCGGTTGTTCCCGGAAGTGCTACTGCAGGAGCAGCAGCAGCAGCAGCTGCAGCAGAGGGCGTAGCAGCTACTCCGGCAAGAGCCACGGGGGGAGCGGCCGACGACGTCGATGGCCCTCCCACGTCAATGGCTGCTGACCCACCGCCGTCTCCAGCCGGAAACGTTGCCGCCGTCGCCGCCGCCGCCCGTGGCATGGACCTGGTTCGTCCCGACACCGCACCCGCCACTGCCCCCACCGCTTCGGCTGCGGTGGCCGCCGTCTTTAAGAGGCCCGCCGTGCTCGGTACATGTAGGTGAAATAAGCCTGCGCAATATAACGCAACGTAAACGACGCCCGGCAGGACGGATGGTCAAAATCTCTGCGATTTTTTTCCTGTTTCTCTTAACATCGTAAAAGAGTCAGGCCAGAAAGATGAGGAGAGGCGGCCGACGTTTTTTTGCCGGTCCACCCTCTCAACACCAAATAAATATATGGGGAAATATCATATGCGTACCCACGAATGAGTAGAGGCACCCACAAAAAAGACAATTGGTTCCGAAAATGACGTGCAGAGAAGTCGAGGGTGACGTATTTTCGGGCACAAGAGGGTTAAACAAGCGGCTGGCTACTGCTGTCCAGTCTTGCCGTACTGCCGGTGTACGTGTGCGGCCTGCACCGCGTAGTGCTGTAGGGAGTTCGCGAGAGGTCCTGAAGACGCAATATGCCGTGGGGTTTCGTAGCATAGTACCGTACGGACCCAGCGATACAACAGCAGTACAGTACATATCGTAGGTGAATGGGAGGGCACACTTTAGAAATCATTTTCTATGAAAACTACAGTAGCAGTCCGGGACGACGCGAAATGCAACCTGCACACGGGCTGGGCGCCAGCACGATTCTGGTGCACATATTTCGCTCATGTTTCACGACAACGCATTTCATGCAAAAAAGAACAAGTAGCGCTGCTGCGGCGCACACATCCTACAGCCTTGTTTCCATTTTGCCGCAGGGAAAAGTCCGGTGGGTTCATTAGCAAGAGAGATCCGTGCGTTCGGAGCGGCTACGCACGTCAACAGTCGATGCAGGCCCGTCAAGAAACAACCAAATCGACCACCTAGCGCGCGACACTGCTGCTGTGTAGTGGTGGTTTTGCCCTCGAGCATCATGCAAAAAAAACTCGTTTTGTTGCAACGTGTCCCCTGTAGAATTATGTACTAGTATGTAGCACATGGGTACGTGCCCCGCGCCTGCTGCAAAGGGCTGTTTGTTTGGTTGCAGCGGGCCGTTCTATCTTAGTGCCGGCCGTTGTTCTACTTTCGTTCGGCTGCGTTCCTGTAGTGTACAAGGGCGTCTATCGTGGCTTCGGTTCTATGGCCCGCCAGAGTATCCACGGCACAGCGTTTGAGACCTGGCTGCTGCGTCGTTGAACTGCTTATCGAATAGCCCGTGTGCTAGTGATGTTGGGTGTGGGTCAAAATGATCGTATGATGCGACGACCGCTTTTTTTTTTTGGTCGTGCTGCTGCCTAGCACTCCAACCTGCCGAGAGTACGCTGCCATACGGGCACAGTCGTGAGGATCAGCTAGCAGCCAGTGCCCGCACGCACAGAGAACAGGTCTAAAGATCACACCAATCTAGTTGTTCGGCTACTGCGCACACACAACAGCGGCGGGGACGTTTGTAGCAGCAGCAGCAGCAGCAGCAGCAACGAGCGAGCGGTGAATAAAGGGGTCACAAAATTCATGTCTCCTTTCACACGCCAACAACGCGATCACCTCAATGATCTTCTGCAGTTCCACCGGAACAGCCAAGCCCGACGCAAGTATCACGCACCCGACCGATCTCCTATCTCCAGCGGTCCCGCCCTCGTGCTCACGCCAACATGCAAGGACAGGAGGCACATGCCACGGGTGCGAGAGGGCGTGAGGCTCCGTGAAATCGAAGACCGCCCCCTCTTTTCGGGCTATCTACTCTGGGGGGCCTCGTCGTGCGCTCCGCGGACAGCTTTGCTTTGTGCATCCATTTGCTTTCTCTCCGATCTTGCAGTGCTGGCATTGACACACGACGCGATCGGTGCGGTGGGCCCTGGATCTCAGGGACGGGAACCGTGAGGTTGGCGGTATGAGTTGCAGCAGCAGCGGTGGCAAGAGAGACGTGGCGTACGCGGGCGCCCTGTTGTTTCTTATTGCGTCCGCAACAAGCTCGTCGCACCGCAGGACTGTCTCCGTATCGGCGGCAGCAGCAGGATCAGCAGCAGGAACAGCAGCCACCAGGGACAGCAGCAAGGGTAGGACTCAGTTCGTGAGCGTCTCCGCGCCATGGCCAACCTCCTGCCTGTCGCCTCTAGCGGAGGCCTCCGAGTTCGTGGCGGAGGGCGGCGGCGGCCTGTTCTGGGACTACGTTGAGGCTCTCGCAGACGCTCCGCATTCGTTGTTTTCCCTTCATCAGCCAAGCTGCTATTATGCTCATCACCACGATAGGGTAGCAGGAGGTGCCACTGAGGCTGTAACTAGTGCCGAGAAAGAGGACGGCGAGGGCGATGGCGCAGGGGCAACGGTCGCAGAGGCAGAACTGCTGCAACAGCGGGAGCGGAGCGCGGCTGCCGTTGCGGACCGGGAGGGAGGAGCGTTGGTCACGGCTGCGGCGGTGACCGCTGCCGGGCAAGGCTTCCCCGCAGGCGCGGGCACCGGCGGCGCTGGTGGTGCTTCCGGCGTAGGCCTCGACGAGCTGTCGCTGAGACTGCTGACTATTGCCCTCTCCGCGAGGTGTGTGTCTGTGGATATGCAGCACGCAGCCGGCGTTGCCTGCTGTACAGCTATGCTGTGAAATGTAGTTGCGCCGCTTGACGACAGTATGCACGATGAGCCAATGGGAGATCGATCTCTCCTGCGGATGCGGACTAGTCATCCGTACATGTAGTCTAGACACAACACCTGAGTGAGGTAGCGGTAAACGGGGCGGGATGTAAGAGAGTGAGGCATTCGCACTCACATCACAAAGTGGTCACCCGCTCTCTTGACACAGCAGCTATTTCATAAAGGTGTGTCATGAAACTCGGGCACCCACAGGTAGCTCCAGGGGTGCAGCCGTGTCCAAACCCTCTGCGCGTATGCACGCGTCCATTATCGGATGTTCGTTGTTCTGTGCAAGAAGAAACAAGGGGGATTGCAGCAGCGAATACCAACGCAACACTCGTGCACACAGCACACACCAACAAGAGCAGAGCAACCTCTCCCAGCTCGTTCTTTTCTCACGCGAATCCATTCCAACTCCCGACCCTTGACGTGACCCCGTTCGCCTTCTTCACGATCAGGGCCCACGCCCCGGCGATAGAGTCCCACCGGACGCTTGCTGCACCCACATGCTCGGCTTGCTTGGAGGCACGAAAGGGCACAGTATCGACGTCTTCTTCTCCGCGAGCGTGGGTGGTCCTCCTCCCGTCAGGCGATGTCGTGTGCTCGCCGGAAGACCTACCGGACGCGCTGTCGTCGTTTTCCTCGCCTGGGACTTGCTCCGCATCGGCGGAGGCGGCGGGAGCCGGCGGGGGGAGCGAATCATGTGCCAGTTCTTCCGCCACCGGTAGCGAAGACGACCGGGCTACTTCAGAGCGTAGGTCTTCCAGTAACGCGTTGACCTTCGACCACGTGTACGCTGGGAGTGACCGCCGTGGCTCCGATGATGGCGGCGACGGCGATGATGGCGGTGACGGCGAGTCTTCTTCGCCTGCCCCGAAAGCGACCGCGGTACTGTACGGGGTGGTGGGCAGCCCGGACATGATGGCCTTCCACCGGGTGCTGAAGGCCAAGGCGGAGACGGGGGCGGTCACGTACGCTTTCCGGCATGCCTTGCCTTACGGGAGGGGGGACGGTGGTGGCGGCGGCGGCGGCGATGACGATACGGTGACCACAAATACGACGCCCCTCCAAGGGTACGGGGTGGTGCTGGACGTGAAGAACATGGAGTACCAGAGCTTCGATTCATCGGACTCGGAAGGAGAGGTGTGTGCGTGTGTGCGTTGGCGCGGACGGGGGGGGGAGGGGGGGGCGTACTCTTATGTTTTGCATGCCTACGGTTAGACCATTGACCACGCGTCCTGGAAAGGACGAACCATAATTCCCACAGGACCGATCGCCGATGGCCAATCGTTCCTTCCTTCTTTGCCAAACGTGTCTCTAGTCTATCTTTCTGAATGCCATCCTTAGTCTATATTTTCTATCGATATCACTTCTCGCCTTTTTAACCCACTTCCTATGCCCCTTTACAGCTAGCGTCTTTTCCTGTCTGTTCCTTGCCTCAAACATCTCCCTGTATCTTCCTTCTACTTTTCCCAGCTCAGCCATGTGCACTTCCCCTCCTTGTACAACGGACACTCCGCAACTACATGAACCCGGTCTCCGCACTCAGAGCCGCATTCACAGTTGAACTTGTCGTCTTCATCGTCTACCCTCCGAAATCTTCCGTCTATGTTCTCGAAGGCCAATGTACCCGGTCCTACATTTGACGTTCACCTATGTCCCTGTATCCATATGTCCGTGTAGGTACTCCTTGCACCCTCTTCCAGTGTTGCTCCCGTACACATCTAGACCCTCTTTCTCCTTGGTTTATTAGGTTAGATTCTTCTATCTCGGCAAAAGCAATAGATACCTTCTCCTTGAACCCCTCTATACCTTCCGTTTCCAGCGCATCACCTTCGTCAAAATCGAACTCCTACCATACGTAGTTTACAACCTTGACCCACTCCGTGGGTTGTCTACCCCTCCTCTTGTTTGCCCACTTCGCCTCCCAAGCTATTCTCGGTAAACTCTCCTCTCCCACACCACACATGCGCTACTGCCATGTTAGCTTCCTTGCGTCTCTTCCCGAACGTAGGGATCGGATCCCCAGTTCTGCCCTGACGGCTGCATTACTTGTGCGCTTGGAGCATCCTAGGATGACTTTCGCTGCTTTCATCTGCGCCGCCTCGAGCTCTTGACTATCTTCTTACTTCCTTCCCATACTTCTCCGGCGTACTCTAGCGGCGGTGCGAGTACGCCCTTCCACACCGTCGATTTGATGGGTGTATCGAGGTGCCGGTTTTCGAGTATTGGGTGCAGCTTTGCTACTCGTGCTTTGCCCTTTATGCTACCGTGCACGTGTGTGCATTCCACGAGCAGTCTTGTGCGATCTCTACTCCGAGATATTTGTACTGGTCCACTACTGCCATCTCCTCGACCCCCCACTTCCATCTGCATTCTACTGGTTTCTCCCTGTCCTATTCGCACACCATGACGACACTCTTCTTAACCTTGGCAGGCAATCTCCACTTATCAGTAAACTCCTTCGCTGCGTTGATCTGCAGTTGAAGTCCCCCAGGGGTGTCAGACATCCCAACAAAATCACCTGCAAAACAGAATTTCCGACACCGCAGTTTCCCCTACCTTTACCCCCGTCCCAACTGCCTCTACGACTTTCAACGGATCGTTGATGGACACCTGGAACAACGTTGGGGACAAAGTGCAACCTTGTGCGACCCCCTGTTCAATGTTGAAGAAGAATTTTGACAGTTCTCCGCCCAGCATTACAGGGACTTTCGTTAACTCTGTCATCTTCTTTCAGCATTCTCCCCCTTCATCCCCTACTTGGACATTTTTTCCCACAGCCCATATCTCCACACTGTATCGTACGGAGTATGCCTTTTGCACGTCCAAGAAGGAGTAAATAGTACGTCGGCCTCCCCGCCCTCTTTCTACCTTGGATGATTTTTCCCTACCGTGAATGCGTGGTCTACACACCCCTTTCTTCTGTCGGAAACCTGCCTGGCGCCTCACTTGTCCTCCCTTCCTTCTCCAATACTCCCAATAATCCTATCGTTCGGCAGCTTACGGAACACTTTTCCTACTGTGTTCAACAGTGTGGTCCCCCCGTAGTTTCCTGCGTCAGTCTTGTCCCCTTTCCTATTCACCATGTTCACAAACCCTCCATCTACTTGGCGCATACTCGTTTTTCCACACCCAGTTACCGTGTGAATGCATGCCGTAGTCGTTACACCATTGACCTCGCATCCTTGCAATGCCGGGACGGAGCGATATGCCGGGTTGTCGCCGCCCCAGGCTACCTTTCACAAGGATGAATCAGAAAAGAGGGGTGGGGAGAGGAAAGCGGGGTGGGCGAGGAGGGAAAAGAAGAGCTTTCTGCTCCAATGCTCCATCCCCGCACTAAATTCAAGAAATCAGGCAAATTTCACCCGAAAACCGTTCTTAGCGCTATTCTATACATCACGTCCGACACGCACACATGACTTCTATCACATGCCCCCCTTCGAATTTCTCCACCCCGTCCGCACCACACGCATAAATGTATGAGTTCCACATCCACCCCCCTATCTCGGCGAGAGGTGGCAATTTGCACTTTCCTGAGGGGGGGGCTATCCCTTGTTATGCCACGCACGCATACGACTACTGCTCCCCATCGTAGCGCGTGGGCAATTTTTGCGCTCTCATTGGAAGGGACCCCCCGCGCCCCCCGCCCCAAACTCACGGCAAGTGTTTCCCCCGCGCTCACTCTCGCTCTCCCACCGCCCCGGGGGGGCGTGAAAAAGGACGGTCAAGAGGGAGAAGACGGAGACGCCACCGGCGGCGGCAGCGACGCGCTGTCGATCGTGGAGGGGGAGGAGGTCGGCGGCGTGGTGTTCTCCACGGTGGCCTCGAGGAGGCCGGAGCTCAAGCGCGAGCTCGGCATGCTCCGACAGGCGCTGCTGCTCGAGGAACAATCTGGCGGCGGCGGCGGCGGTGACGGTGGGGCGGAGGAGCTAAAGGTGTGTGTGTGTGTGATTTTCGTTTCGTTTCCTATTTGTTCCCTTCGGGAGTAGTTTGTGTTTTCCACCAGTGCCAGCAAAGAGATGACGGGCAGGGGACACGCGTTGGCAAAGGGGCTTGGGTGGGAGGGTGTCACCCCTCCTAGGGGAAAACCCCTGCGGCTCCCCCTACCCCCGCTCACCCCTCTGTCGCGACTCTCAGTGTACGCTTCGCAACAACAAACGACAACGTGCGCGCGATCACGTGTCCACCCCCCTGTGCAGTATTCACCAGTCGTTGCTACCGAGGTGATGGCACGTAGGTGCTACGCCGATGGCGTTGTCGATCAGCGGAAGCTCAACGGGAATGTGTCTTGTTACAAACCTTTACTCCTGCGTCACCGTACCACCGCTGACAGCGTAACAAGAGTTACAGCAGAACCACGCGGCCTAGAAAGGATCTTTTTCGTCCATGTTCGTTGTTTTTTCTTGTTTGCGCAATACTCGTTGTTATTGTCGTTGTTTGTTTTGTGTGTCCGAGGTCTGGAACATTGGAGAACAGGAGTTCGTTTTTTTCCTCTTTGCATACCAACCGTTGTTCGTTTTTGTTTTTGTTTTCGCCAAGGTCTGGAATATGGGGGACCTGGGGCTCCAGGCCCTGCAGTCGGTCGCCGCGGCGGATTCCCCCGTCCTCAGGCTGGAGGAGCTGTCGCAGAATTTCCCGTCCCACGCTTCTGCCCTGAGCGCGCTCAAGGTGCAGCCGGGCACAAGAGAGGAAGCGCAGGTACATATGTGTGTGGATGGTGGGTTCTGACTGTCCGCATGCTTGCGTTGACGGGCATTGACGCCTCTTTGAAGAACAACCTTCCTGGACCATTTCTTCGCTTCACTCGCCCCCGCGTGCTGTCGTCGTACTGTACCCCCACACCCGACGCACGGCAACCATCCACGACGGCAACGCACGTCGAAGAAATTGGTCAACAGCAGCAGCAGCAGCAGCCGCAGCAGCAGCCGCAGCCGCAGCCGCAGCAGCAGCAGCAGCAGCAGCAGCAGCAGCAGCAGCAGCGGCAGCACGATCTTATCAGCTATCCCACCACAGCTGAATTGCTGCGCTCGTCAATAACAACAGCACACAATATTATCCTTTTTCTCGCTCGGCGGCGCTGCTGCGCTACTGCTGGTGCGTTCATTTCCCCCCCCACCGCGTTGATGGGCGTGGTTTCCCTGTGCACCAATCATGTTTTTCTCGATTTTGCCCACCCCTTTGTCTTTTCTTGCACATGGCGTCGAAGGCGGCGGGGTATCTCTTCCCCCAGGGGCTTGGGCTGAGGCCCGGCAGTCTGTACGTGAACGGCAAGATGGTGGATCTAGAGGGACCGACATTCAACGTCTTTCAGGTACCTCACAACTCGACGTGTGGGTTAATAGGTTAAAAGCCTCGTTTCGGTGATTATATTTTTTTTATCGCCACCTTCGATTATGAGACAGACCGGGCGTTCTTCAGGTTCGATGCTGCTTTTTGTCGGGTGGTGGACGGTGGTGCACACGTGAAGAAGTGTGTCGAGCATGAAAACTTGCAGGAAACGTATGGTATCAGTGTTCTCCTCTGTACCGTTCTTGTGCCCACAACGACGACAACGACAGCTTCTCGGCCTGTTCTGAAACCCCTGCTTTTCTGCGTTCTCCCAAGCACCGCTCGCCTCAACGCCTCCTTCTGTGTTATTTTTCGTCCTCGTACGTATTCTCCCCCCTACGTTTCCAACGCTACAATATGCGTTATAAGGCTTAGATATTCGGTCAGCGCGCTACCGGTTTTCACACCGCAGCAGCAGTCAGTCGCCGGTCAACACACCCTCCACCTCACCTTCTTGTTGCAGCAGTACTATTATCCTCGTACCAAATTGTATAACATGGGGTCTCCTGTTTTATCCTCCTCTTTTCCAGATTCTGAGCACGCTGAGGGCAGAAGCGGCGACGGTCGGAGAGCTCGGACGAATCGGTGCGCCGGAGGGAGCTCTGTCGGGAGATCGGTGCGCATCGAATTTTCTCAGATTTATCTCAGTGCTGTGCGCAAGGGGTAATGGTGACGGGGAGATTTAGGCTTTATTCTCGGTGCCTGGCGGCTGGCCGGGAATATACACCTTGTGTGTCCCAACCCCCCCGCCGTGTTCCGATCCATTTTCCGGTCCAACCGATCCCACGTTGCTGCCGTCCTCCCGCTTGCCTTCCGTTTGTCCCCCAAGCACCTTCCCTGTCTCGCCTGTCCCTTCCCAATCAACCCTCGCCCTATTGTGTCCCGCCATCTCTGTTGTTGATCCCCCGGGGGGTTGAACACCGCCCTACCACACACGGCGGTGGGCGTGGAAACAAAACAATCGGACACGTACAGAGGCCGGTCATTGTTGACGAAGTCGGGTCCTCTGGCCAACCCCGATAGCAACAGCAACAGCGGCGGCGGAGAGCGGGGGGGTATGATGGGGGCACCGCAGTCTCTCGGGGGGGGGTGGCGCGTGGATATCATTGGGCCCCAGCCGTCGTCGCCCCCCTCCAAGGACCAGAAGAAGGCTCTTCCTTCTGCTTCTTCGGCTTCGGAATCCCCGGCGGGGTCTGCGATCGTTTGGCTCAACGATATTGAGGTATGTGGGGGGTGGTGTCGGGCAGCGGGAGGCCTGGGCGGGGGGTGGTGGTGCGTGTTGGGTACGCCAACGGGGCGAGTCACGTTTGGTTGTGGTTGTTGTTTCGTAGTCGAAGGCTTCCTTTCCTTCCTTCTTTTCTTGGTCACGAAGGACGTTAGTCCCTGTGGTGCCGGTCGTGTACACCACGCGCCAAGATGTGGGTTCGGTGGATTCATTACTACGCATGGCGGCTCTATGCGCACGGTGCGGTGGTGTTAATCCCCGGCTTCGTCAAACAAGTACCCTCTCTCCTGTCGCTAGGGTGAGAGACATTACGATTGTCCCGTGCAGTTTTACTTGGGTTTTGTTTTCGCTTCCAAGAAGCTTGAGGCGAAAACCGCATACACCACTTACCTCTTTGTGTTCTCTATACCCCCCCTGCGTATGTCTTCTCATCTTAGCTTTCTTTGATCAAATTATTTTCATTTTTTTTTTGTGTTACACCTTCTCCTCCCCTCCGCCCCCCCCCCGGACGCTCTTCTTACTGGTCTTCTTCCACAGGCCGATCAGGCCTACAAGACGTGGCCCCCTAGCGTCCAGCAGCTCGTGTACGCCGGGTTCCAGCTGCCGAGAGTGCGCAAGAACCTGTGCAACCTCGTCGCCGTCATGGACCCTACCACCACCGCCGGCGCGGAAACTTTACAGGTACGACGATGGCGGCGGCAGCGGCGGTGCGATAGGACCAGTAGCCATCGCGAGGATCTTAATCTTGGCTTTAGTAGGGGGGTTGGGTTAGGGACAGGGGTACGAAACCTTCATCTCTATTTCATAGATTGTTACTTGAATCCTCGCCATGGTGGGTCCGATATGACGCAGGGGAGTGCGTGCGATTCCGGGGGGAGGTTTTGGGGCGTCGCGTGACGGAAAACAGTACGATATGTTTAGGGCGACAGCGATGGTGGGACACTTTGCGGTAACGGTACGTTTTTTATTGTGGGACATCCATGTTTGTGTGTGTGTGTGTGTTTGTGTGTGTGTGTGTGCGTGTGTGTGTGTGTACGCTGCGGTTGTGGTAGTGGTAGTGGTAGTGGTAAACGGTTGTGGTATTATTAACGTCAATGGTAATGGTAGGACACGGCACCACGAAGCTCTGGACCTCTCAGTTCCGGCTGGTCTCGTACTGCCCTCTTCCTGTTTCTAATGTGTTTGGTGCCAATGGTTCTGTTGGTGCTCCTGCCGCTGCTGCTGATGGTTCTGCTGCTGCTGCTGCTGCTGCTGAGCCTAGCTGTTGAGCATGGTGGTCGAGCAGGGGATGCCAGTACGCGTGGGCCTCTTGCTGGTCTCGGAGAAGGACCTGAACGACCTAGAAGAACGGGAGGGGGACGATGAGCGTGGCCAAGAAGATGCGGGCGGTAGCGATGGTGATGATGATGATGGCAACGATGACAGCCTCCCACCGCAGGTGCGTGCGTGTTGCTGTGTAGCGGGACGGGAAAGTGTCGTGTGTATCGCTAGCTGTGCGGTGAACCAGAGCTCCGTGTGGGTGTCTGTGCGGCAGAACCAGAGCTCCGCGGGGGGGGCGGGGGCGGTGAACTGTGCAATGTTCCAGGGGGTAGAACGATTGCCTCGCGAGGAATTCAACAAGGCGACGAAAGCGGCGGCACGGCGGGGCGTTGTGTGTGTGTGAGAGGTGTCCATCTCCGTCTGCAATCGTCCCGGGTTGACGTCTGCAAAATCTCGTTCGGTTGGTTGTGGAGGCGTTTTTTTTTTGTTTTTGCGTGGCACGCGTGAAGTGCAAGGCACGCGGGACAATGCGGCGCAAGCGAGAGAGATGTTTGCCATACATGCGTTGGTTTCGTAAGCTTGATGTTGTAAAATTCGATCCGATCATCACCTTCCGGGCTTCAGATGCTGTACTTCATGCTATGCCCCCCTCACTAGTCTTGACCAGCGAAATTCGGCATACTGTACGCTCCGTTCCGGCATTGTAGGGGTGCTAGGTCAATGCTCTAAAGACTACCGCATGCGTTTACATGAATACCCCCCCGTCCCCCCCGGGGTTTGCCATCGGGGTTGGGTTTTCGTCGCTTGGCAACGACGTTGTAAAACAAGCCCCCCCCTCGGTGTTTGCCATCGGGATTGGGTTTTCGTCGCTTGGCAACGACGTTGTAAAACAAGCCAATTCACTTCGTGAACTCGGCAACCAGGTTACTGTTTGTTTTTTTTACCTCGGTTTTTTTTTTGGCGGTAACCATAATGGTGGTCGAGTAGATCATGTTGTGCGGGGTCGAGAAACCTCACTCCGCGCAACGGGGGATGATCGCACCACGTTGTGTTAAAATGGTCAAGCTTCCTCGAGGCAGTTACACAGTGCTTACAACTGTCTCTGGAAGTGAAAGCACCAGAAAATAAATTAAGTCATACGTAGCTGTCATCCGTACGCAAGGAAGTAAGCACAAGATGCCGAACACCCTTAGCAGGATGCAGCTCACCCTTCATGCGAATCGCCAAATACCTCACGGCGCTTCGCGCTTGGTGATGTGAGAGCCTGGTCCGGTGAGAACCCGGCGTGCTCCGTCCCGGCTTTGTAGGGATGCGAGGTCAATGGTCAAACGACTACGGCATGCACGACTATGAGTACACCCCCCCCCCCCCCCCCCCCCTGGGAAGACAGTAGGAATGGGTTTTTTG